AGTAAATAAAAATAATACTTAATTTTTTTGAAGAAACAAGCAAAAAAAAGGTCACTTTAATTGATCTATTTTAAAAAAGAACAACAAATGGAGATAAACAACTTTAGGAGCAAATAAATGGCTTAAAAATTACGGAAACTACAAGTTTAAAAAAAAATACCAAAAAATATTTTTTTTACAAAATTAAAAAAAAATTCATTGTTCATTTTTTTTTCAAGCAGAAAAACACTTTTTACTCTGAAGTCAATTCTCGATATACTATTGGACTGCCTGCATGATTTTAAATGGATCCAGTCTCAAGTGGTACATACACCCAGTGACTACATTTATTTAAGATTTCTTCCGTTGCTTTAAAAGTGTCAAAATGTTTTTTTTTGGGCTTTCGCATTCCTGTAGTAGAAAAAAGGACGTTATTTTGTTTAACAAGTATTTTGACTTTTTTCGCCCTACTACATTTCTCGAATATAACGAGTTTTTCAATCACAAAAACAAAAAAAAACATTGTTTTGGTTTAACCCCAAAGCTATGTCTCATTTAAAGTTTTTGAACATATCTAGTATGCAGTTTTAGTTTGATTAGTTGCATTTGCTTGATTGCCAACAGTTATGTTTTTTTGTGTGCTTTTAACAATTTTTTGTTTTTTAATCAACAATTTATATACATAAAAGTTTTAGATTCAGTAGATATATTTAACTCGCCTCAGTAATTGCTTTATGAGTATAACAATAACACTGCACGACAAGACATGTTTTGGGTAGTGGAAGTGAAATATGGTGAACTATAATTTTATGGCCTTATTCATAAAAAATAAAATATATTTAAAAAGTTTTACATTTCCACACCATTTTTCGATGCATAAATCTTTAAATCTTTTTTTTTATGAATTTGGCTGTTCGACTTTAGACGCTTGAAAATTTGCTTGATCAAACTTAACCCCTTGTCGTCCGACGGTACTCTTTAGTACCATCGTTATTTTTGCTCTTTTAAACAGAATGGGTGAAGTTTGTCTACCATGCAGACCAACGGTACTCCAGAGTACAAAATAACAAGCATATTTAACGGAACTTTTTGTCACGTATTTTCTATTTTTTTTGCATGCTCATTTCAAGTTGGAATTTTCTATAGTGCAGTCGCGAGTTAATAGTGGCGTCTTTTTTTCATTATTTCTAGCAAAGTTTTTAATATTTTTCTACAAAATAAAAATAAAATATAAGCTTGGTGATTTATATATCTATAACTGACGAAAGAAATATCTACCTCTTGTTTGTTTGTCAGTGATAACTGATTTTCCATTGGAGACTTGTAAGTACCGTTGGGCTCTTCTGGCCCTTGTAGTATTTTCAAATGTAATATGTATATGTATATATGCAATTATATATAGTTTTTAGTTAATCATGTCTGGAGTTTACGGCAGATCTTTGAGAGAAAATGAAATTGCTGCAATTTTGGAAGAAATTCTACTCGACAATGGCCAAAACACTGATATTGAGAGTGAGGATGAAGATGAACAAGTGATCCTTTCAAAAGACAATGAGGATGACATTTTTAATGAGATTCTAAATCAAATCCAGGCAGAACAAACTGCTGAGGCAAATATATTACTGGAAGATCCCCAAAACGGAGTTCTTGAAGAACCATTGCGAAAATGGAGAAAAGTTGAGAAAATAACAGAGGTTTCATAATTTGACTCACCAGAGGGAGCAGTAGTTGGTTATTTTGCAGATATAGACACTCCAACAAAATTTTTCTTGTCATTCATTGAAACAATTGTTGAGGGAATCATATTTCACCCGCAGTTCCAAAGCAAATCGGAAAGGACTTCCATCAAACATGAAACCAGACAAGAAAATGAAAAGAGGCGAGTTTGATTCACGAACAACAATGAACGGTGTAATTGTTTTTAAATGGATAGATAACAAACCAATATTATTGGCATCTAATTTTCATGGCACTGAGCAAACTGCAGTTCAGAGAAGAGATCGGAAAGGGAAAGAAATACAGGTTCAATGTCCAACTGCAATTAAAGATTACAACTCTCATGTGTGGAGTAGACCATGCTGATCAGTTAAGAAGTGCCTACGGGATAGACAGACGATCTAAAAAATGGTGGCATACATTGTTTTGGGGGCTTCTAGAAATAACGTTCATTAATTCTTACATCGTGTACTGTCAAACTCACGACAAAATTACTTTGCTAGAATACAGACGGACCGTGGCCCAAGGCTTAATGACTCAAAAAAATGTTGTTGCCAATAAACGAAGTTTGAGTCTTCCCGTAGCACCATCAAGCAAAAAACGACGTGGTAAGAGTGAGTCAGTGGCAAAAGATGTCCCATTAGGTAATTTGGGAGTACATTGGCCTATATTTGTTGAAAGCCGAGGAAGATGTGAAATGTGCAGCATAAAAAAAGTTCAGTCAAAACCACATTCGAAACGCCAACACTGCGGCATATTTTTATGTTGCAATGAAAAAATAACTGTTTCGCCGAATACCATGGAATTGAAGTATAACAATTTGATTCTTGAAACCCGACGGTACTGCAAAGTACCATATCCTTTTCTTATACTAAGATGTCCTTGAAATTTATGATTTTTTTTATTGATTGATAAAACATGCATATGAATTATAATATACAAAAATTAATACGAAAAATAATGTTTTTCTGGGCTTGGGCAACAAGGGGTTAAAAAGAACTATCTCGACAATCAGATTCCGGGAATTTTCCCACGGCGGGTGTATATCGGAGCCACTGCTTACATATGTACATATCCACGAGGTAGGGATGCGTGATGATGAGAAATCATTGATTTCGCCATCGATATTTACATCGGTTAGAGGGCGGCATACCTACTACTAGGACGATTCACTGAGACAACGTTTTACGAAGTCTTTAGAATTGTCGAGAAATCACCCTACTTTAGCTGCTTTTCTTGGTCTGGTGGAAAACCAATATAATCATGTAAAACTAGGCAGAGTTTAGTGGGCCGTATGTTTCCGTCTTGCAGTGGCAATAAAAACTTCCACTGCAAATTCCATCAATGCTATCGCAAATCTATTTCTTATACTCCTTAAAATAATTTAAATTTAGTATAATGCTTCGATTTCAGTTTAGGGCACGCCTTTGGAAAGAACTTCGACTGGAACCGGAATTGATACCTACTCAGGTGTTTTCTCCTAGGACTAAAAAAATGTATATATCTGACTGACTTCGCAACCTTTTTTCCAGTCTAAGAAATCAATTTTGCCGTCTGTGTAAGGCTATCGACAGACATTCAGCCGTGCCTAGGATGTGCTTTTTAAACTGGTCCATACTATTAGGGGTAGCGTGATTGTGACTGTGTAGTAGAGGCCTGACGGTGCAAATCAAGCTCTAGGTATACAAAAGTTGGGCTTCATATGTATAAGTTCTTCTCCTTTAAAAAAATATGTCATACCTCGAAACTGTGCAAAAATCTTGTAGCAATTGTAAAACTTTATTTACGGGAGTCAGAGAGTTGCAGAATCTCTGCCACCTTGATAACTTGGGCGGCCAGTGTTTCTACTTCATCAGGAAGGAACCTTAACTAAATTATGCTCCAACGTTATTATTTATACGTTCTAGTCAAACCTTAAGAGGATGATGCTCTTTCTCACCAAACAATTTTTTTTCCTGAAAGTTTATTTTTTGGGGAAAGCTTCCAAAAAGGAGCTTTAATAAAACATTATTTACACTTTCCTCTATTAAAATTTGCTGATTAGCATTTTTGTGGATAATTTTTACCCTCTAACTGCTATTTTTAGTAAATTTAGTCAAAAGACCCGTTCTAGGAAGTAATTAGGGGATTCACAAGGCCTGTTATAGGTCGTAAAATCTTAAGCTTAACTTTTTTATGTAAAATAATAATTGAAATGGTTTTAGAGGATTTCTTACTACATCAAAATTATTTTAAACTGATACAAAATATATGTATAATTAGCCCCCCTAAAAGCATTTTAACCCTTATTTTACATAAAAAATTTTAATGTGTGAAAATTCTATATGAAAAAATTCATCTAATATATGTAGGTCTCCTAAGGAAAAACTTGTGTTTGAAATAAGGCTGCGCCTAACCATTTCTTTAATATCGGGAAATTTGTTTTTTTTTTTAATTTTCTATAAAGTTTTAAACTTGCATTTCTATGGTTTTTGTCAGAGAATGAACTGTATTTTGATTGAAAAATAATGAAAATTAAATAAAAGAAAAATAACGCAGAACAAAAAGTGAAAAAGTATTGTCCTTATTCAACTGCATGGGAACGTATTAGTGTAATATTCTATAGGAATTTGACTACCTCATACGGATACTAACTTTTGGGCGGCCATAAAATGAATATTTTTCTGAAATGTGGCAACAATTTTTTTCAAGATAGCGGCGATTCCACAACCCAAAGAGGGCTACAACTAAAATTTAACATTCACTGCGACTAGCCTCACAGTGTTTAAAAAGTATATTGCAAAAAAATCGTGAGCTTTTTGTAATTTGACTGCACAAATAGTTTTTTTTTTTTATTTCACTTCCCCCACCCGACAAATGAAATCATGAAAGCAGAAGTGGCTTAACCCAAAAACTGTATTCTTTTGCTCTCATGGCCTCATATATGCTCTGATAGATATCACTATTTCGTGTCGCACAGTGTAATAAATACATATATGTATTCATGTATCGTTTGATAATATTACTGATATTTAGCTCCAACTACATATAGTATATATTTTATATTTTTATTACATTAGTAACTATTTTTGTGATATATAATATACTATCTGCTTAAATATTCATTTATTAGCCACAAACCCGAGTGCATATGCTACGAATATATTTACTGCATACATATGTATGTATGTATATGTATATTTATATATGTATGTATATAAATATAAATACAATGTTAAATATGCAATTTGTTTTTTTTTCTGTCTGTGTAATTTCGTTCACTATTCGAAGGTATAAGTTGCGCTTTTGTGGACTAGGTATGAGAGTTAGTAGTAAATTTGAGAATAGTGAGGTTGAGTGCTGATTCTATATAGTAGGAATATTTCGTATATATGTATGTGCGGAAAAACCACGTGCGTGTTAAGTTATAGATTGCATATAAGTTAGTGAGTGAGTGCGAGACAGAGGAAGCGAGGATTTGGTTTGAATGGGTTAGTCTTTAGGTTTAAAGTGGACACTATAAAAGTATAACAAAGTGCTTAATGCAATACTGAAGTAGTACAAGTCTTATGTTGGGTTACAACACTCCTAAAATTACATAAATATGTATGTATGCATCTAAGAGTCTGCGGTTAAAAATCCAGTTTGCTTGGAGTATATTTGGGCGCTAAATAAATAGGAAAGATTGAGTATATTTGATTGGTCTGATTTTCTTTTTCGATCCACTCTCTAATTGAGTGGCGCCGAAAAAACTATGATCGGCAATAAAATGTAGGGATTCTTACAACCAGCGTTATTCGTTCGTAGTACATAAATAATCTTACTAGCTCACAATAACAACATTTAAATAATACTGTTACGCTTGGCACGTAAGGCGTTGCTCTGCATAGCGGCTACAACTGCCTCAGCGCCGCCGGTAAATATCGGCTGATAGGAGGCGCGTCGCAGCACATGCCACATTGCCACCGGTTTGCGTAGCGAGGAGAGCATTTGATGCCAATGGCGCAATCCCTTGCCCGTGGCACAGGCACCGGCTATCACATGTCCAATTGGCGCAATACGCGGTGCGCCATCCTCAGCATCGGTTACACCAAAAACGGTGAGACGCAGCTGTACGGTGGTAAGGCTTGGCGGTGGCACACTGAAAATCATCGATTCATTAAAGATGGGGCAGCGATCGCGACGTTTCAGTGAGGTGCGTTTCTTAAGCACTTTCTTCTCGTTGTTCATCAAGTAGACCTAAGAGCATTAAAAAAAAAAAATTGGAATTAATTCTCAAGCACTTAGTTGCTGCATTTGCATATGTACGTCATTCACATTGCAAACTTACCTTCACGAAAACGCTTTGTACCTCCTGTGGTGCGCCGTTTTTACCACTTTCTTTTATTTCCATTTTTAAATTTCGCGCTTTCACTATAACAATTGTAAGGCGTTCGGCTGTGGGCAAATAGCTTAGAGAGAACATTAATTCGCCCCACTGTGCATTACATTTGCGTGAATCGGTTAGTGGTATCCATGTGGTGACAGAGCGCGGCATTTCACCGATTTCCATTTCGGCTTCACCGATCAACGTGTGCGCATCACCATTGTGATATAAATGGAACCAAAGCGAGTGTCGTCCATGCTGTTTTTTTAGCCAAAAGTTGAAGGTTTCATTATAGCCAGGCGTGACAGAATCTTTGAATACCTAAAATGCATAATTAGAAAAAGAATGAATTTAAGTAAGGTAAAAATACTTGATTAAAAATTCAGAATGTAAATAATTTTGAACTATTCTTGGAGATTTTTTTTCGCTTTTTCGGAAATTTGCTATAATTTTAGAGTTCTTTTCCAGCCATTTCTGGACTTTTCAACTCTTGTATGGATTATTTAGGAAATTGTTGTTTCTAATTTTTAGTAGAAATAAAATTATAGTGTAACAAAATTAATATACCCTTGTGCACAAGTGCGCTCGGGTATAAAAAACTAAAACCTCCCTATTATAATTGCCATTCGTACTGTCATCAGGTATGTAACTTGAGAATAGAAATCGCTGCATCTTTTAGGCGCATCAATATTACATAGTTACATCGCGAGCTAATAAAAGGAAGGTAAAAACCAAATTGACTCGAACTTTTTTGAGTAGCAAATGTTCGACATATTTTTCTTGTTTATATGAAATTTAACAAAAAAGAAAAGGGTAAACTTTTTTGGGATTTTTTTGAGTTTAAATTTTTTTTGGAAAATTTTCGAAATTTTTGGTTTTATTTTTGCGTGGCTTTTCGGGATAATTTAGAATTTGTCGATATTTTTTCGTGTCTTTGAAAGCTTTGGATTTTTTTTTCACTTTTTTAGGCCTTTATCTCATTTTGTGTTGTTCGCGGGAGCTTTCTGGACATTCCAATAATTTTCATGTTTTATTTAGGAATTACAAAGTTCGAAATACACTTAAGTCTTAGCTCCACACATTGTAACACAATTCGTTTTTATATTTTTGCTTTCGCTTGGCTTATAATAAGCAATAAAAGCGCCAAAAAGTATGCCCTTTTATCACTAGGTTCCTTGTGATTACATTTGCCAGGCGACGGCGAGCGCTCCCTGGGATGTCGGCAACATTTGGTGTCGAAAAGCCGGGTCTACGGCAAACACAGCAGGTGGAACAATGGCTTTATTAACAAATCTTTTTAGTAATCATTCCTTGCGTAAACAATATGTTGAGTAAGAGAAACATCAGTGACTCATTGGAAATGGTAGAAATAAGGAACACTTCTACACAAGGTACTATTCAAGAAGGCGGTGTGACGGTATATCTCCTCTTCTTCACGCTACATCTCGAAAGCCACTAGTTGTTGGACATGCAGAGAACTTGGTCATTCTGGTTGTAGGGAAGTTCATCTCGGCGGTGAGTGGGCTAGTAAAATTACGAACCGAAAAGGTCGCTAGGCTTAATCCCTCTAAACAAGATAAACCATTTTCGAATTTACTCACTCAATGCAGAAAATCGTTAATTGCCAGAAGAGGCGAAGATCTTTGTGTCTATTCTTGACTTTGAGGTTATTCCGCCGCTGCTAAGAGCGCTCTTCGACATGGGGCGTCTAATAGGTTGCGAAGCTGCGATTGTCAAATCACGGAGGTAGACTTCGCCTGGAACTTCGAGATCCCGATCTCAAGATCTGGCCACTTCTCTCAGAAATTATCTTTGAGAGAGAGTCTTAAACATTACTGATAATGACTGTTAATTTGAAATTAATTTGAATGTTGAAGAATTTAAATAACTTAGTTACCATGTACCTATTCACTATTCGTATATTGAACTATCAACAAGTAAGAAAGTCTAAGTTCGGGCGGAGCCGAACATTAAATACCCGGCGCAAGTATTAAATATATGTTTTCCACCTTTCCGAAAGCTACCGCTACATGATAANAATACGACAAAGAAATGTATATAAATAGTGCAAATATGTATATTCATATGCACACATATATGTATGTATGTATGTATTAACATATGCTTGTAAAAATAATAGCTGTGGGTGAGTTAAGAGTGGACATGGAATATAGCGCCACAAATGCATTAGAAACGCATACGCGTCTGCAATGTTAGTAAGGCAAGCGTAATTAATATTAAACGTGTTGTGCACAAAAAAAAAGACAAACACAAGTTCAGTCCACTGAAAACCCGATAGTGGCTTGTAAGAAATTTGTAAGCTTAGAATACAGCTTTCAAGAAAAACGAAAAATTTATTGAAAACGCACAAGAAATGGAAAAGAAATTTTCTTCTATCAAAAGTTCTTAAATCACTATCAAGGCGAATTCAAGATGTTAAACTGAATAAAAAATATAACCACATAACCAGATAACCCGGTAACCAGGCAAGTGTGAACAACCCAAAAAAAATGGAATAAAATGAGAAATGTCAAGGTAGAGGAGGAATCTAATCAGAGCTTCGTCTGTTTCAGGGTCTTGGGTGACCGATCCCCGCAAAGACCATACCTGGTAATTTTCGCAAATTTAACTACCCTTCCACTCTATCTAAATAGCAAATTCTCCATAGAAGTCCCAGAGAGGAACGAATGGGCTAGATACCATTTAGGTCAGGTACGATGATCCTAGGAACTGAAGTCTGGTACTCATTGGGGCTTCACAGTGGCACAAAGACTTAGACCCAGGGTCGAAGCCTATCTACATAGATCTCACAAAACATCAGTTTTCGTTTACCTGACCACTGTAGCGCTTTTCAGGCAAAACTAACAGGCATAAATGAGGCCCCCTGTGGCTCAGAGTTTCTTCTCCCTTAAAGCAGTCTATCACGATATATTCGGGCAGCCTAAATCTTAAAAATCCAACAGGATAACGTCCAACGTAGCCATTGACTGCATAGGTGATCTCACCCAGCTGGCATAGAAATGCTCTTTAATCGTTGTATGAACCACTGGACACAGGGGCGTCCCTCCCTGATAACCGCATGGATGGCAGGGATGGCGAGCTGGCAATGAATGCTGCCACGGAACTGTTAATAGATACCTTTAAAGTCCTGCAAGCAGAATTTAAAAATTTGCTTTATTAATGTTGTAAACTCAAGGAGGGTTGTGGAAGAGATCCTTTAGACTACAATGCAAATTTAATCAGAAAAATCAATGGAAAGCAATCTAAAGTTCTTGTACGGCTCGACCGCTGCTTTCTAAGGTTAGTAGTTGCTAGAATAACCGGACACTGGCTCATAGAAAGGCGACGAAGGAGGCTAGATTATTGAATACTATATTTGCCATTGACCTACCTCGGCTAAGACGCGAAAATAAATTCTGCAAAGTTCTCAACTTTCTGGGATATATGTATCCTTGGTTCAATTTCTAAGAGATATATGGAAATTCTGAGGGGTATCACAGCGGGCTGATTCTTCTATTGAGCAGGGGCAGGAGCTTTAAGATATCCTACTTTTATGGAGGACACTTTTTCGAAAATATCAGGAGGATTCAAATGAAGTTCGGAGATTATGTTGCAGAAAACATTTTGGAAGACACTTTTTTCGAAAAACTGGGTATTATAAGAAAGAGATCCGCCAAAAGATCTGAATGACTTGTGACTTTCAATAATAGAATTGCAGAAAATCCGTCGAGGGTCTCACTTACATCTTAGTTATTACTTAATAATGAAAAGACTCTCTAAATATGCATCTACTATCCTCATTTCCTACTGGGTATACATACATATGTTACATTTGTACATATACATGCTAACATGTATAGCAGACCAGTGCAAGTTAAATACGTACATATGTTTGTGTTGGAAACCTAACCAACAAAGCTTTAAAAACACCAACAACACAGATAACATTTGCAACAAAAATAATGCAGCACATGATTCGGGTGAATGCACATTGCACACTTGAAAGGTTGTTAGCACATAAAACATAAGTGCCGTAACCCATCCTATAGCCTATGTAGCTAGTCTGTAGGTTGTATTGCAATTGGAGGTGGTGGTGGAGAACATTGTTGCCATATGTGAACGGACGTGTATGCAAGCTTATTTATCTGTACATAGCATCTGCTGGTGGCAAGAGTCCTATTACGGTTGGCTGAAGTGCACTAACGTTTGCCCAAGCACAACACCACTAACAATATGGGCCTAGTTGTTTTTTCCCAGCTAGCTATCAACAGCAGGCGCTTTTGCTACACATATGCACATACACATATATGTATGTACATGCCTCTTTTAACTTCTTGACACCCCCCGCCATTGCCCATTATTCTCGCTACTCACTTGTCATATTGCAATCCGACACACAGGTATCCCGTTATCTGTGTATATGGCTGATCCAATTCGCCCACAAATACTGACGAGGTGTCCGAGTTCACCGAGTCACACGAGATCGCACGCTCCAAGTTGATGCCCTCCAGCGAACCGCACGCCGTCGAGTCGAGTGAACATTGTGAACTGTTGCGTCGGCCAAGGCTCATTAGAGAATCTTGGCGCAGCAATGAACGGCCAAAGGTCCAGGTGGTGTTGCCACTGCCACTACCACTACCACTACCACTAATGCTGCTGCTGCCGTTGCCGTTGCCACTCAAAACTGACGTGCAATTTGCTGCCTGTGCACCAACTGTACTTACGCCCAGTTTGCGGAAGAGGAAGTCTTCCGAGATGGTTTTCTGTAGCATGTGTGGCCCCTTTTGTACGCGTTGCGACAAGCCGGTGAAGGGGTTCGTTGAGTTTTGTGTTAATCGACGTAATCCACTTGAGAGCGAACTTAAGTCGGCGTCTTCGGTTGCTTCCGTGGTGGAAAACGAACGATTGCGAAATTCTTGGAATTGTTGTTGTAGTGATTTTGCGCTTAGTGAAGTTGGTGCAGTGTTGTTGGAGTTCGCTGTTAACGCATCAGGCGCATTGGTCAACTCGCTGTAGAAAGGATTACAGCTGCCATTTATGGCACTGTCGCTTGTAGTTGTAGCGGCTGCTGGTACAGTTCGTACGTCGATTGCGGCGCCATTATTACTGTTTATATTACTGTTGGTGTAGTTAGAACTATTTTGCTTATTTGTAAGTGTATTAAACTGTTGTTGTTTTTGTTGTTGTTGTTGCTCTGATGTTTGCTGTGCTGATAAGGCAGTGTTGGATTCCGGTAAGCTATCCGCGGATTCGCAAAGAAAGGGATTTGTGCTGGAATTACGACGCTTCAACGCCTTCAAATGACTACGCTCGCCATTCGCAGTCGTTGCAGCTGTTGTCGTTGTTGTGGGTAAAGCTTCAGTTTCCTGTATTGTTGTTGTAGTTTTGATTGTATCCACATGACCACCTGTAGCAGCTGCACCAATGCCAACATTTTGCAATGACACATGCCGCTTAGCCACCGGGCGTGGTATGGCGGTAGCGCTCAAGGCCGACGATGGGGCAGCAGACAGTCGTGGCGGTGGTGGCGCTTCAATTGGTTTTGGTATTGGCGCATTTGTGGTCTTCATAGAAGAACGCATGCAAGAAACCATCGATGCGTTATCACTGTTACTGGCGCGACTATTCGAGTTTACTTGTTCCAGAAATCGGTGTCCGCCACCATTGTTCGTGGGTGTGGTGGTCTCATTGATTTGTTCAAATGAAAAAGTGACTGTTTTTATGTGACCCGCACTGGCGGGCGTCTGTGTGCCGGGTGCTGGTGCTGGTCTTAACGGCTGTGGTGGTATGTTGGCATCAACTTCCCCCTCGCCAGCTAGATTCCAAAGCGGTGTAGTTGCATGATGGGTGGGCTGTTGACCCGACTGCCGGTAGTCATCCTTATCGATAGTATCAAAACGCTTAAAACTGCCGCTGTTGCTGAGTAAAAATTCTGAGCCGGAATGGATCTGAAATCAAAGTGTGTAAATTTAGCGGTCTATGTTAATCTTTTAGTGTCATAGGAATTTCCTCTCTCACCATATAACCATTGGCATGAAAAAGTTTATTTTTCGATAGTCCTATCTTTTCTTCCTTATTGGATCGCATCCATGTGTTGGCGTGTGGCCCCAAACAATGGCAGGCAAACATTACAATTGCTATTAACAATAGTAACATCAGCGCCAGACTGGTGAATGACATCGGTTCGCCATCCATTGTGGTTGAGTGTCACTACTTTGCATCCGCTCATCTGACGCTGACGAGTTGAAAATGCTTGATGGTCACAGTGTTTGGTTAAGAGCTGCAAAATAGAAAAAAGAACGCATGCATTAATGTAAAAAAGAGGACATAAATTTTGCTTAATTTATAAACTGCACATTTTTGTTTATTAAAAAATTTTGCATAAATTTTGTTCAGTATGAAGGATAAAACTACTGTTGAATTGCAGAAATTGGACATAGAAGCCTGAAAGGTAAAAAGTGGATATGTGAATGGGTTCACTTTAAACACATGGCCACTTTTATTGTTTAATCTTTACACAGTTTTTCAAAAACTAAAAATTTACATATGTATTAATGCCCAGCTTTCAAATGTCCAACCAAACAGGGGCGGAAAAATATGTCTTCGCCAAATATGGCCGGGTTCGCCGACGGAGTTTTGCTGCCATGCTGGGGGACTCAAACGTGACGTGCTACCGTTCTGTCAAGTGATACATATATATGTATAAACCTGCAGTATGAGAATCCCTACATAAGGGCCAAATATGTATTGTGGTCTGGATGGCTTACATTTGGACAGTGACTAAACTTATTCTGCTGTTAGGGCTTAGTTGCTGAGCTCCATGATCATGAATGGGTAGAAGTAATTAGTTGTTGCCTCGGCATCAACCATTTTCCGTCTGACTCGATATTGCCACCAACTCCGCAGAGGGGGGATGGTCTTGTGTAATACTGTGATAACCGAAATATCGGTTTCATTTTGTGTTGGCTGCCTAATGAACAGAACAATGCAAGGAGGAATCAGCCTTTTGTGTTTCGTTTCGTGCCTGGTTCCAACAAACAAAAGTTGCGATTTTTTCAGTAATAAAATTTATTATACTTCAATACTTCCGCCAAAATATTTTGGAAAATTATTAAAATTTATGTACGTGAGCTAGACCGATTTAAAATATCTGCAAAAATCTCGTTAAAAAAATCGATTTTTTGGTGGTATTTTCAAATAGGTTCAGATCTCGCAAATCTTAAGATTTTTCCGAAAATATAATAAATTTTATATTTCGATTGAAAAACAGCACGATTTTTTTCGTATAGAGAGTGATGCACCCGAACGTACATGCAAATGTACATTAATACTTATACACATTTGTATTAGTTTTGAATTTGTAAAATCTTTCTTCAAGTTTTTTTCTGTGAAATTGGCATTCAAAAATTTATGTTTCTATTTAGTTTTCTCTTATTCAGAGCTTTCATCTCATCTCTTGTTACATTTGATTTTCAATGTATGTACATAGTTATGTTTGTACAAACATACATATATTAGCAGTGAGGATGTTGCTGTTGTTGGGAAAAAGTGAACAAGCAAAACTAATTTTTAGTCAAAATTGGTGTTGTCTGTATTTGCATGTATGTATGTATGTACTTGTATTTTTGTACAAACATTCATTCAAACAAAAGAAAAGGTAAGCTGCTGGTGTTGAAGAATTCTTGCTTCCCCACTGACTCAGCAAGTGGGAGTTGACAGTTCTTTGATTGAATTTGAAACTTGATCCAACCCATTTTCACATCAAAGACCCACCGTCGAGTGAAGCTGAAGATGTTTCGAGATACAATGTGATACTCTTACAATCACTGTGCAACATTATTTGTGTGTCACAGAGTTGCCGGAAAATTTAATAGAGAAAATGCTGTAAAGCTAAAATTTTTAATCTGAGCCTTAAAAAAAGAAAATCCAAGAAGCTGATTTATGCTGTGAATAAATTCCGGACCCAGGAGCGACTTCCTCATTCCCATAGAACGACCGAATATCGATTTTTAGAGCCGAACCGAACATTTTCAAGGTCTAAGATAATGAATACTCAATGAATTTTTTTAATGTCTATATTTTTTATTATTGTTAATAAAAAAGGTACATTGGTTTAAATCACCCGCCATTTAAGTTTATAACGTAAAAATACTTACGTTTGTAAAGTTAACCACAAAAAACTTATATTTATAATACTCCAAATTAAATAATTTTATGTTATAATGAAAAAATTAATTAATTAATTAATTCACCTTGCAACCGATTCCGTCTATCGGTATAAAGCTGACCTCCTTCAGCGCTGAGCAATTGCTCACTAGACATACTTGATGGAGGAGCAAACAAATATTTTAAAGAATTTTTTTTTCAACAGAAAATGTGGGAAAAAATATTTCAATTTCTTGGCAGCAGATGTTCACTAATAAAAGTGTCCAATTCGTTATTGAATGAGTATTTAATATGAATTTCCTACCTTCGTTTTGCGGCCGTCAATAATATTCACATATTTTTGCGAGAATAAACAACTTAATTTTTGATTTGATTCTGCAATTTTCAAAATGGAAATGAAACGCAGGATTACATATCCAAATCTAAATCTAAAACCTTGTACAATTCTTAAATAAAAAAAATATATAAATGTTCGGCCCAAGTTCGGTTTTTTTTTTGCCGAAGCCGAACCGAAACCGAACCAAAGAAATTTGTTTGACCAGAGAAGCTCTACGCCAATGGAATTATGAAGCTAACCCAAATTTGCCAAAAGGTCAGATATAGTAATGTCCAATATGTACTTGATTAATATTGATTTTTAATAAAGACATTTTTTCTAAAAATTTACCCAAAAATCCCCGGACACAATTTAAGTGACCCCGCAAATACATACATATCTGCGTAAATATCTATGAGTCATAAATTCGACCGTTTGAATGCAAATTTTACGTCTGAGTAAATTGTAATCAAATCTATCTTATTTTGCCGCGTGGCAACCCTGGCCGCAACATTCATAATTGGTATAAGTTTTCATAAGACTTAAGATATACGCGTTATATGATGAGTTGCAGTTGTTGACAAAATTTTTTAAATTTTGAAAATTGCACAAATTTTACTTTGTTTGTTGTTCGAAAGTGAAACTAAATAGATTGAATTTTTTAATTATGTAAATAAAAACAAGCTGCATAAGATGAGGTATCCATTACATTTGACGAGATTTTGTGCTACTATCTATTATGTACTTCTATGTATGTATGTATGTATGTATGTAGATAGATATGTACATATTTATCTGTGGAATTTGCATAAAAATAGTATATACATGGAGGAATGAAATCATTCAATGTAGAAGGAGGTTATTCAATATTTACGCACGATACATTTTTTCTTATTAAAAAAAGAGAAGACTATATGTACATTAGGGTGATCCCAAAAAACTAACCTAACGAATTTATGGCCTTAAAGGGACCCATTTGCTGAGAAGAAAATTCTTCCATTTTGAAGAATTTTTATTCCAATTTAAAAAGTTTTCCGTGAGCCTTCCGCTGCAAATCACTTGATCATGTGGTTGTTGGTTTTGTTGTTTTTTGTTAATATTTCTATTATTAAAATGATTAATAGAATGGCTTAACAAGTGAAATAGTGGAAATAAGCAACCAGAATTAACAAGGCGAACTTAGCACAGTGCATAGGCAACTGGCTGAGTCAGTGGGATCGTCGGTTCGAGTCCTACTGTAAGAAGTCTGATGAGGAAATGTGGTGATTTCCAAAATAGCTATCACTTCTACCATTTTTTCAAATTATTGTTGATTTTCCACAATAAGTATTAATTAAAAAAAGCGGACTCGAGATCAATAAAAATTGTTGAACATAATTGTTATAAGGCCATAAAATAACAAAAACAAATAACTATTAAATTGTTTGAGATACAAATTTTTTTAGTCATATTCCTGTAGGGCATTAACTCTAAAAAATCGTCTTAGCGACGATTAAGAGTATTAAATGTGTTAATGATACATAGTATATTTATGCTTTTTTTCGACCTATGAGCCCGTAAGTATATATATTTTTGAGTCCAGACAATTAACTTCAAGGTATTTTTTAGAGAATTTAATGCCCTACAAGAGTATCTCAAACAGTTCAATAGTTAACATTTTTAATGAAAAAAAATTTCATATTATTTCAAATGCCCACCTACACCTATTAGAATTGGGATATAAATACTTCCAAATGGGAGAATTTTCTTCCCAGTAAAAAGGTCGTTTTAGGCCATACATTGTTTTGGTTTGTTTATTTGGCTCACCCTAATGTGCATACATATGTATGTATGTATGAACATACATATGTATTTATGTAAAAATATAAAAATTTTGCTTTATTTGCTAAAATTTTATGTGTTTATATTACCGAGTCTAGCGGAAAATTCACATTATTTGTCGTATTAAAAATTTTAATATACCTACGCATTTAAAAGGAAGCTTTTCGCTCAAATTCGATGCATCACGCCACAGATGCTGGTTGAAGAAAACCCGAATGTTGTTCCGCGTCAGAAAGAGTAGGTGGAAAGAAGCGCTTTCGTTTGACATAATCTTAAAGGCGAAAGTAAAAGCAACTATCTGTTATAACTAACTGCTAGTGGCCTTATTCATAAAAAATAAAGTAAGTTTAAAGAGCTTTATAAGTTGACGTTTTCATACATTTTTCAATTTATAAACCTTTTAGCTTTATACTTTATTTTTTACGAATAAGGCCATAAGTCTTTAAAATGAACAAATAAATTTTCGTTTCTTTAAAGTTTTATTTTATGAAAAAGAAAACCACGCAGCAGCTTGCGTGAGATGTAAGCTAATAATTCAGAAAGTGAAAACGATATCCAGTGACTGGCATTTTGTCTATTTAATAGCCCAACGCGAGCAGCAAATACAACAGAGACTTCTGCAAATATTGCATGTAGGGAAATAAAAGCCAACAATGCGGCGCTTGGGCGTTTTTATCAATAAAATCTATACGATTATGCGTTGAAATATTGCTAGTTGATGAGTTGGCGAATAGTTTGTAATGTTTGGTAAAAAAAAATGTTATTTTAACATCGATTCCGCTTTTATTGCACATTCGAGTGCGTTGGCGCACAGAAGCGCTATGATTTTGTGCCATAGACACATTTTATCCTTATAAATTGTATGTATGCATACCCATATAACGGGTGATTTTTTTGAGGTTAGGATTTTCATGCATTAGTATTTGACAGATCACGTGGGATTTCAGACA